TTGGTGAAAGTCTTAAAATATAATAAATTTTATCCTTCCGATGCACAGTGGGAGAAATCACGAAAAAGCTGGTAATATATAGTTAAAATTCTTTGGTGAATGCTAGTATAAGGTGTTAATGTAAACTCCGTCCACAAATGCGCCCACTTCCCATGTAATGGTACTTTTTAAAAACTCAAGGTTTTATACAGGGTAGGCAAAATAAGACCTACCAATGTTAAACACGTATAACTTCTTTATTTTTTAATATTATTGTTATTTTCTTTCTGCATGTTATAGTTAATCTCTTGGAAAATCATAATGAACACTTACAGCAAGACCACCAACAACGACTACAATACGATATTCGTTTTACACAGTCTGCCGCACAAATTTATTTTCAACGGTAACTCTAGTACATAGATGCCTTATTCACGACTTCATTAACAATAATATTGGGCGGTTGGGGACTGTTTCCTCGTTTTTTTCATCTTTTTAACCAATTTACGAGCCTTTATTCGAGCTGCATTGGCCACGTGGCTGTGCTCCGTCATAGATAAAAGTGTGCCTATGAAAACACGAGGATACATTTTTTATAAAACACGAGGAAAATAAAACAGTGTATAAAAAAAAGCAAAAAAATATCTACTAGCTCTGAGACGTGATGTGATTCGAGCTAGAGTATCACATGGTTATGGCATTTCTAAGACATAGGGCCCGGCCCTCAGTGTTAACTAGACATTGAGAAACTGGGCCTTTGCTGCTATACAATCGTTGAGCGATTATAGCCGTCATCGATTCGCCAACAGTTAACGAGTGGCAAAACGAACGAACTCAATGAGGTACAACCAAACTCGCTATCATCTACCCCTGGTAGTTACCTTTGTTTTTGCTTTCACATGCACAATTTTTCATTAAGTGACCGGAATTCAAACATAGCGAGCAGAGAAGTGGCGAATCGGCTTATCTTAGAAACACACAGTTGAGTATTTCTGTTGAGCTGGGTAGTTGTGGATGTGATGCCACTTTTTCCAATGAAAAATATATTCGCTAACTGAACTGTACATGTTCTGCTGCTTCGATAGCTGATTGAATAGAGTACTGCCTCTCGTATATCTTTAGCCCTTAATTTTCACGTTTCACAATGCAACACTCAATACAGTATTTATAATAATATTCTCCCAAACAAATATACCAATTTTAAATTTAATAATTTTTGGGCAAATGTACATGCCAAGCAATTTCATTTGATAACAATAGAACCCCGCAACGGCTTGCTGTGGCACAGTTTAATTAAATTGCAAAGAAATAACAGCATAAGCAGACGTTTTTAATAAATATTTATAAGTTTACAACTCAGGTGGGTAAAAAACTTTGTATGTTTTAAAAGAAAAATTTTCTGATTTACCGACTGCGATTTATGCATTATGCCTACACCTTTTGGATTTCAAATAGCCTACTACCCCAAAAGTAATGCAATTGCAGTGTGCAACAGCAACAACACAATAATTAACCATAAAGGAAAGTGACAAAAACATAGCAACCGGCTGCCTCAGATGGCAGGGCTGCTGGTGTGGAAGTTATATTTCTATGCACAAATACAATAAAAAAAAGTTTCTCAATTATGAACTAAAGCAATAATAATGGTAAGAGGAAAGGGTCACAGGCTTCAAAATAGTTGAATAGCAACTAACTACGAGTATTAGGGTGTGCTAAAAATTACTAAACAAACTACTAAACAAATTCGAACAGAATAATTTAAAAAATGAAATGATATTAAACAAACATTAACACCAAAAAACAAAACACTGGATTAATACTGCAACGTATAATTAGTAATGTTGTAATGAATTTTTCTTGTAACGAAATGACCATGTAATGAATAATTCGTTCTGCCATAATATTAAAACTTTGTAACAAGTATAGGCAATACCGATGAAGTTATGAAAGTGTTAGACCAAATTTTTATTTTTTTTTTTTATTTAAGGGTGATTGAAGTTCGCCCATAATCTATATTTATATATATATATATTTTTTAACCACTACAAGATTAGTTTAAATACACTTACACTTTTTTGAAATAATCTACGCAAGAGGCTTTTCAAAGCAAATGAATGTCGTCATTTAAAAACTAAATGAAGATAATTTACATTGAATGTTTTCGATTACTTCCACGCTTCTTTCGAGTTCGTTTCAAAATTCAAACATTTGTGTAAAATTTGGACAGAGCTGGTCCACGATGCATGCTAAAGTACCTCGGGCCTATGGCTAATTAACCATCTGATTACCGAATTATTTTTGAACCAGGCATTTGTTAGAAAATATCAATAATAATAAAATGTTATTTATGCATTCCTGATGGCTAACAACTGAAAGAGTTGTAATGCAACCAACAACTGGACGCTATTAATAATGAAATGAATTTAAATAAATAAAATAAAATGAAATTGAGCTAATAAGCTGGAAACTTAAATAAGTCCTAATCGTGTCATAATATATTCGCCAATATCAAAATATGTTGTCTGTTTCGCCACGACAAATTACACAAATATTTGAAAATCGATAAAAAAGTTTTATTTGCTCCATTGTGTTACATAGAGTATGCACATTAGACCGTACCAGAAAATAAAGTTCGCTGTACATCTTTTAAAGCATTTTCGAAACAAGCAAAAATTCCTTGCCGTAGGGTTTTCCGCTTCAAACTTTTCGACACTTACAGTCGGCTCATAAAATATGATATATTAATGTTCTTCTCTCGAGAATAAATTTTTTTGTGCCAAATTTTTTTGACCTCAAGTATCCCGTTCTTTGACTCATCCATCAGTACTCAGTTCTTAACCCACTAACGTACCTCCCTATTGTCAGTAAATAAAAGCTCTCTGAAAATCTTTAAATTTTCGCAAAGGAAAGCATTGATCATTCCTGTAAAACTATTAAAAAAACAATTGTTTTTCGCCGATTGTAGGTGTCACCGAAAAATGTAAAAAGGCGACCTTTGGTTCGGCAAACAAATTTGGAAATTACCTTTCAAAAATAGTTTAGATTCAGGGGTGTACGCGATTTTGTTTTTGTTTTCTTGTAAGCTGGTACAGTCAAAATGCACAAATGTACAAAAATGCATGTGAAAAAATAAAGCCGTATCACACCTGCTAGGATTGTTCTAGACCGAAAAAAATTTACTCGTATTTTTAAATTTTGAAATCAAAAAAATTTTAGAGGTCGATGAAAGCGCTCAAAAGCAACTTTTCGTAGAAATGGTATAGAATTCTTGAAAATCCATATTTTTCGATCGGAAAACTCTGGGGGTATAATTTTTCCTTTACTTTCTTTTGGACCACCCTAATATACATACATAGTGGCATTTATATTCATGCCTAGTTTTTACATTTCCATAAAAGAATCGCACCTTTTAACTTTCAATTCAATTGTAATTTAATCTAAAATTTGGTACTTGCAAATAAATATTTCAAATTATTTATTTAATTTTACACAATTTGATACTTTTTTTTATGTAGAGGCTTAAATTTTAAAGTTCGCTTATAATTTGTTTGGTATGTATATAAATAAATTTATTAAGTATGCAATTTATTCAAGTTCTTTTTACTTAACGTATACATATTACTTATTTATTTATTTCTAAATTTTTCGAATATTTTTAAATACGCAAATCTGCCTATAACGCGTTTACTTTTGCAAAGTATTTTACACTTTTTACTAAAAACATATATATTCTATTGTATACATACATTACTATGGGTGAGTTCTTGGTTTTCTATATACAATATTACAAAGGATTTTACAATTTTTCACAGTGTTATTAGAATTTTTAATCAGCATTTGTTAGCTTCTTCTTCTTGATCAGGCTCCGAATTTAATTTTTTTTTTATAAAGTGAGATACTTACATGGAGAATAGAAATGACTGAAATTTAGAATTCATTGTTGGTACACAAATACAAATTTCAAATTAAATGAAATTTTACTTTAGAGTCGATTTGAAAAGAATTTTGGTTTCTCAATATTATTTTACATTTATAAAGGCAAATACGCATCCTTTTCCGAGAAGAACTGTTTATATTTATTCTTTTCGTGACTTTTATTTACTGATGAAATGAAATTTCGGCATTTATCTAAAAGGAAAAAAAATATGTATTCAAAGGGTAAATCCAAAAAATCCAGCTAATACTAACAGAGGGATGGGTTTTGGTATTGCACACAAATTATATTTTCTTATACAAAATTAAATTTCAAGTAGAATATTTTGCTTAAGTCTTCACCAAAGTTTATTTACATATATCTAAAAAAAAAATGTTTTTTCACGGAATTTCAAAATGTTGCAGGTAGTTAGGAGTGCCTGCTTTTCTTTTAGAGATTTTCGGCAATCCAAATTAGCGACATCGATTGCCAGAGTGCCACTGCTGGTTTGGTAAACAATTCCAGATAAAATCTGTAGATTAGATCCCATACCTCGATTCCTTGTACACACAGAGGCTAAGAATGGATGTTAAGAGCAGATGGCTCAAATCTTTCAGGCCAAGTTGCCAGTAATCTTGACTTGCGTCGGATTAAAACTGGAATTTGGCTTTAAAGGAGACGTGTTTATACTGGTCTTTGCTGTATTTTCGGAGAGCTATGAGACCATCAGGCCAGTATTCAATAGAATAATGACCTCATAAAGGAGAACTTTCACCTCCTGGCAGCGAGAAACACGGTAACACTTTGCAAGCTTCCAGAATACCTGCGAGATCAAAGCAAAGGAGGTCGCCAATGAACTACCAAGGAAGAGCTTATTGTCTGTTATTTAGGTAAATGTATTCAAACTTAATAATAATAAGCAGGTCTATTGATAATTTAGCCATTGGTCTCAACACCAAAATGCCAAGTTCATACGAACTATGCAAAAAAAATATAAGACAGCAAATTTAAAGCGAAAAATGCTAAAGTCAGATATCTAAATTGTTTCACTAAAAAAAAATTATACATTTTTACTTAAAGTAAAATTCTTATTTAGCTTTAAAAAATGTATGTTAGTTATAAGTTAAAAAATTCCAAACCTTTTAAAGGTTTCTTGATCTCTCGAATATGTTTACAACACAATTGCGTTTTCGCCACAATATTCTTGAAGAAATCCAAATTGCAAAATGCCATTACTGCATACTTGAAGACCTGTAAGTAAAAATTAATAACCAAATTAGATTTAATAAATGAAAACATTGCAAAATATATTTATAAAATTGATACTTTAAAAATATGTGTATACCGGGAACGAAATGATATTTTTTAGTAGAAAGTTTATGGAAAACGAAGTTAAGTTTATGTTGACCTTTATAAGTGAAAGGACATAAGGCAAAAACATCGTAGTCAGCTGAAAGTTTTCAGCATTTTTAAAGCTAAAACGAAGCTCATATTTTGCTAATTTGAAATCGATTATTATTTAACCGTGCCGCCAGGGCTTTGAAGTTTTGCATATAGTTTATACGGGAAAAATAAACTTTTTCGTAGAATTACTATAAAATCGTAAAAGACAAATATTTTTTGTCTAATACCAGTTTTTCCCTTTAAAAGTCTTCCAAAAATAGACTTACTATGAAGCAAATTTAACTTTACAATTTAACTATGTGATGTTTTTTACGAACACATACTAATTTTAGTATGTAGAATAAGTAGAGTTTATGAAAACGTAGTTTTAAAGTTAAATGTGCATCGAAATTATTTTTTTTTTTAAGATTTCCGAAGGGCAATATTTTTACTCTACTAAAATATTTATTTGTAATAACTTTACAGCAACTCTACGAAAACATGTGTTTTCCTCAAAGAGAATAAAATTTTTACTATATGTGGAAAGTCTCAATTCAATTCAATTCAATTCAATTTCAAAATAAAACAAGTAAGAGCAGCGCTATGCCAAAGGCTTCATACCTTTCATGAGCATCTGAAAATTTTACTTTAACAGATTACTGCATTTGAGAAAAGTTATATATTCGCAGCATACATAGATAGAGGAGATACATATATAAAAAAAATCATATCTAAACAATCAGAGGTATGGAAGATATACCTTATATAGCATCAATCTAAGTGATTTTCGCTGTTGTGTGATCGGTAAGTAAACCGGTAACACAATTTAATGGGTTTGGCTTCCTACATAAAGAAGATATGTATGTATATCGCAAAAACTGGTATCTGAAAAATCAGTGGTTTAAAAGATAACATAGATTTTGACGATTTTCTCAGTAGACTTTGTATTCTTATTTATAAAATAGCTTATGAAATTTATCGGTTTTAGCTGTCCAAGTAAAGGAGTTTTACAGTAAAATCGTATATCTGAATGACCAATAGGTTATAGTGACCAGATCTTTGTTGATTTTACTGTAAACTTTCTGTTGATAATGAGTGAATATAGTGCTAAATTTCATGATTCTAGCTGCATATATGGAGAAGTTGTAACAAACAATCTCATAGCTGAACAATCAGTTGTATGGGAGGCTATAGGTTAGAGTGACCCTATCTTTGTAATTTTCACTCCAAGTTTTCTGTTGATAATGGGTGGAAGTATTGCAAAATTTCATGATTCTAGCTGCACAAATTGTATATGCACATGTACATTTGCATTTATGCTGCTACATTTTCTCCACTTTTTCATATAGTTATACTATTTGCAAGTACTTTTTATCATTGCCCTCTTTTTCTTCATATCCATTGTATTTTTCCCCTCCTTTTATTTTCTCCCTAGTATACCCTTGCAAGGTAGAAGGTTATCAATTTCAACTTTACTTTCATCAGAGCTCTTCTTGCTTTTATATTTTTTTTTACAAAAGCTGCCTGCTTCAGCCTTCAATACTCCAGCACTTCTACCTCTCCCCCCATAATTTCATCCAAACGCTAAGTACTACCACTGCTCGCAATGCCTTTCAGATTTTCAGCTGTCACTGCATATCACAAATTTTTATGTTGTCTGTGGCGAGCAGCTGTTGTTGCACTACATATATTCCATGTGAGCCCGTCCAAAATTTTTATAAGAAAAACAAATCGTTAGAGAAATGCTAGCAGTCGAAATGCAGACAATCAAGAAGCAATGAAGCCAGCTAGAGAAGGGAAAGAGGGAAAAGAGTAAAACGTTCGTAAATTTGCAGAAAACCAAATTCGAATTCAATTGTCAACAAATGTTGCACATTGATGATGTTGCATTCCCCTTATGTTGTTTTTGTTTCAGCTGTTGACTTCGTTTTCACTCTACATCGCGTAGTGTGGCTCTATGCGTGCAAAAGCAGTGCAATATTTGACGTAAATTGAAAAAAAATACCGTATTGGAAAATCGCATCAGTATGTGCCTGCGTGTGTGTGTGTCCGTCTTTGCTGTTGTTTACCAACCACAGCTGTGTATTTTCTTTTGCTGACTTCTTGGCTTTTACCACTGTGCTTGCAGCTGCAAACTGCATCTTTGGTTCTTATCATGGTTATAAGTATTTGTTGTTGCCACTGCCATTTCTAATGCAATGGACAAGATGCTGCAGGCAACTTGTATGCTCACAGCTGCTTTAACAAATCCCTATTGGCTTATGCATCTGCGCACATACATACATACATATACACATGCAGTGTGTGTGTGCAGAATTGTGCTGGAGGGTTCATATTTTCTATTTTTGGTATTTTATTGTTGTTTGTGCACATTCTGCCAGCAATTCCATTGTCATTTTAGTAAAGCGACTTAGATGAAGAAAAAACGTTAAATGCCACATTTTCCAAGCTCTGCATATTAGAGGCGCCTTTCTTTTAGCTCTCCTTTTCTACTTTTCATTTTTGCTATTTTGCCCAATTCTTAGACCCAACATTCATTTTTGATTTTTCAAGCAGCAAATTCAAATGCAATTCAATTCAAAAACTCATCACAAAATCACCAAGAAGAAAAATTTCCATATAAAGTGAGTTTGCGCTCGTTTGAGAAAACATTTATTTATAGAGTGAAATTTGTAGGTATCTACGTATGCATCTACTTAGGTATCTATGTACGTATGCTTAGTGCATGCAATGTGTTGCAAAGCTGACTTTTTGTCGACTGCAACATATCAGTTTAAGAAGTTTTTTTGCAATTCGTAGATTTCGATTTGATAGCAATTTGATTCACTTTGCACTTTATTGTGATAAGTGTTATTGGATATGTGCGTATTTGTCACTCATACGTCATGCATGATAGCCATTGGCAGTTCGTTAGGGACAGGCTGATGATAAAATTGTTTATAGAGAAAAAGTGATTTGAATGTTTTTTTTTTTCGAATAAATGAATAAAAGGTAACTACTGCTGCGCTAGTTTGAATGAAGCATGCCATGGGGTACTCGCACGGATTTGAGCTAGGAATGTCATCTGCATAAATTAGAAAAAATATATAAAACTTTATGGATTTCTTTTTTTTTGTAGGTAGGTGAAAAATCTGTGGAATATAAATCTCATAACACTCAATCATCAATCAGTCATCATTATAATGCTGCTTTATGCAAACACATACATACATATGTATTTTAGCTTACCTACTTTTATGAAAATATTCGGCCCTATTATGGTTGTCGATGTCGACGTCTATGCAGTTTTTTCATTAAAATATAGCCCTCGTAAGTCCAACTCCATTTATGCTGACCACAGTATTTTTGCGAGGAACACCTTACCTAAAAAAAAAAAATGTCGTCAGCGTAGCTAGAGTAGGACTTATGACGACTATTTTTTGATGAAAATTATTACATCGACGTCGACGCCGACAGCCATAATAGCGCCAATTTACTTATTTTTATTTATTTTTTTATTGTAAAATACTTTAGCTTATAAGCCCAAATGTGAGCAAAATTTTGTTTTTGTATGTGTCAGCATTGCAGGCTACACATTTAAGCCCTGAAGCCGAAACGATCGTTAAGACTCAGGTAAAGAATTTATTGCTGTAGAGCAGAGACCATACCGAGTATGTCCTTTAGTTATAAATAAAAGTACAAAACGTTAGTTTTCTTTTGACTCTTAATACTTTGATTGCGAAATATGTACTGAAAAAATTTAGCTCCTTTATTATTTCTTAAGAGGAAATAATTTTCAGATTTTTTCTAGATTTTTTAGGTGTTCATAAAAAGTTCTGAAGAACTTAGTAAAGTCAGAAAAAATAAAATACGAAAGCTTGAAAGTGTCCGCAAACTACCAAAAATTCTGAAAAATAAAACACGAAGTTTTACGAAAAGTCACGCAAAAATACCTAGATTCGAGAATAATCCCAAATCTTATGGAAAAACGATAGAGCTTCACAGGAATCAAAAGCCCGCAGAAAGCTCAAAAATGAAACACGAAGAAATCGGGAAAAAATTCAGAAAAATACTTAAAGGTCGCAAAAGGTAACAAAACGGATATTGAAATTTCGCGAAAAAGTCTCTGAAATCGCGAATATTACAAGTAAATAACGCAGAGCCGCGAAATTTCTCGGGAGGTGAAAGATCGAAAAAACATCCCCAAAAAATAAATCACAAAGAGTACCGAAATGTATTGGGAAAATTACAAACGTGTCTAACATCACAACAAATAAAAAAATAAAATAAAAAATATTTAAAGTCTCAAAAAAGTAGCCGAAATTACGAAAAATAAGAGCGAAACCCGAAAGCTCTTAACCCTCTAATCCGTAGCCCTTAAATTGCTCTGCCGGCAAATGTAACCGATTTGATATGAAACAAGATTTTGTAACAATAGCTATTTAATGGGTATGGTAAAATATTTGAAAGACCAGTTGAGCTTTGGGGCAGTGATTTCGTGATGAGTGCTCTAAGAGAATGTTCTCATATCACAGCTAAACCAAGGACTATACTGGCTCAGAGAACTATATTTTATAAATCAGAAGCCCACATTTATCCGAACACGCTTATTTGCAAAATCCATGTTCCTCACAATAGAATTTGAAAAGTCCCCGAAACTACGAAAAATTTCGGCAAATCACGGAAAATCGCAAACCGTTGGACTAATCCCCAAAAGATTTTAAAATAATTCTTATAACTAAGCACAACACATATCTTTAATGGTTCCGAAAAGGTGCCTGAAATCGAGAAAAATAAAACATGAATAATTGCGAAATGTTTGGAAAAAATTCGAAAAGATAAGCACGAAAAGTCCTGAAATATTCAAAAAGCTGCAGAAAGGACTTAAA